TGCCTATCACGCGTCCGCTGGCCGCCGCCCACGACGGCGCGGACCGCAAACCAGACCGCTCCTCGAACTGCGCGCTGGGCGAAGCGAGTCCGCTCGGTGCTCGCCGTGGCCATGTCGGCGCCATGCGCGATGTCCTCGCCTGCCTCATGCTGAGATGCCACCTGCCACTGCTGAGCACTGCCATCATCCACGAAAGCTCCGAGCATATCATAAAAGTGGGCCACCGCCGCAGCGCCGTACTGCTCGCAACCAAATCTATGGCAGAATCGCGCCAACAGGTCGCGACCGCGACCGCACCAAGGGGGACGCAAGATCCCACCCAACCTGAAGAAAGGCCGCCTGCAGTTCGGCAGTCGAACCGCGAACATCTTCCCATCGCATGAACTTGCCCTTCTTCAGCTTAGCCAACACCACCTGCCACGCCCTCTCGATCCTGGGGTGGAGGCGCGGCCGGGACAACCAAAGAGCGACCAACTCCCGTAGTAGCTGGCGTCTGAGGTCCACTCCAAGGTCCGCCGTGCCGTAGACCGCCTGCATCTCCGACGCCAAGCACCTGCCTCTCTTCGCACCAGCTGCAGCAGCAGCCGCATCGCGTCGGATGGCCAGCAGCATGGTTTGGGGGGTACCCATAATCTGATTGCCAGAAACAGACGCAGGATACGCGCCCGTGTTCCAAAGCTTCTTCGTCGCAAATCTCAGGCGTCCACTTTCCGCAGCCTCCTGCGAGCCAGAGCCAGACGTCTCATCATACAAAGCAATACACGAAAACGAGCTGCTGCAGCACCAGAGCCGAGGTCGACAGCAGCCCGCGCATATTCAACAGGCATGCCCTTGCGTCTCAGCCTCCGCAGCAACTCGATCCCAATATCATCAGAGCTGGCAGCCCACTTCGTCCTGAAAGAAATATGCAATCTCAGCGCCGCCAGACCAGAGACCCGAAACCCAGCTGCAGCCTCCAAGTCTGCGAAAACCTTCTGCTTCGGCCCCTCAGCACGGAATTCAATGTCATCGACGTGGCTCCACAAGCCCGCAGGGAGCACTGCGCGGTGCACCGAATCCAATAGCCTGTGGGGCAGAACCTTAGCCAAAGGCACCCCATGCCCAGATCCAGCAACAATCGACATGGTGACCACTATCGCATCTGAAATCGCATGTCCCTTCTTCAGAGAGCGGGGAAAACGATGCTGATTCTGCATCAACAGCACACACGCTCAACGATTCGTACAACTTAGTGAGGTCTAAGACGAGTGCCGCGTAAGCCAAGGGCAACTCTTGCGGGCCCTCGCCCATCGCCGCGCGAATCAGCGCGGCGCGTAGGGCGGGCGATCCAGCAATCGCAATGCCCCAAAAGACAGACAGGGTCGCCGACCTCTCACGCGACACCTTCGAGCGCATCTTAGACCAAACTTTCCGAGGCATCGGCGCCAGGCCAAGCGCGCGACACCCTCCCGCTTCCTTCGGAATAGCGGCGCCCAGAACAACGATGATAGCCGCGGGCGAAAAACCAGCAGACTCGATTGCATTCAGGTTGTCGACAAAGGCCTGGCGAGCCCCCCCAGGCTGGCGCTGCGTGTCCAGCGGGCCCAGAGCGTCGATGCCGCCCTTCGCCTTGTTGGAAGGTATCCTAGGCAGTACTGCGCCCAAATCCACGGGCGCAATGAGTGGCATAGGCGCAGCGCGCGCCTCATTCAGACACATCTTCACCATGCGGAGTATGTCCCGAGGCTTGTCGACTGGGCCCCCCCAGAAATCTCTCCGTTCAACGGCCAGGCCTTGCAGCGTAGCCTGGTTGCCCGAAGTAACTGTGCCCCGCGGGTCCTCGCTTTCCCAAGCGGCGGGAAAGTAAGTTTCGCGCGGCGGTGGACGGCCCCAGGTTTCTTGGACCACATCTCTTGGGCCCTCTTCATCAACGAGGACCTGGGGGCCGACGTGGCCCGAGCGCAGAGAGATCCGCCCACCCGCGAGCCCATTCCGGCAGTTCGGACAAAGACTCCACAGAGACAGCGTCCAGGTTGGCGACCATGCCCTTCGACTAGAAAATATCCTGCTGGCCCTGCCACTTTCCGAAGTGGCCCTCGTCGCGAATTCCGCCCCACTGCTCGGTGAGTTTCTGCGCCCTCGCAACGCGCGGGCCTGCCTGGTCGGGGCCCGCGCCGCTGCGCTTCAAGGCGGCATATATGATTACCAACGTGCTCGTAATACCCCACCATTCAGCCTGCGTGTTCTTCACGTGCGCTCTGCCTGGGGTCGAGCGCGCTAGCTTCCAGCGGCGCGCAAGGCCGCGCGCGCGCCCCCAGTGCATCTTCGCTTTGCCGGGTTCAACCATCTCGCGCAACAGAACTGCTCTTTCCGTCGCAGAACATCCTACGGTCGTGCATATCACCCACCGGCCCCCGAGCCTCTTCCTGCAACTGGAAGCCAAACTGCTGAGCAAGATCGCAGGGCGCATAATGCCTCGAGCAACCAGAAGGAGACAGTCCGCGCGCATCAGAAGCTCCTTCCCAATCTATCTGCGCGCGTGCCTCTTCCCAAGTCTCAGACGGCACGGTAAAGGTCACCCTCCCATCTGAGCTGACATCGGGTCGACTCACCCCCCCGAGGTCGGCGCCCTCTGGCCCCGGAGGTTGGGCGAAGGGGGTGAGTAGTGCGTGTCTGGGGGGGGGGGGGGGGGGGGGGGGGGGGGGCGGAAAGAATCATGCCATCACGCCTATCAATAGGCTAGCGCAAATCTTCAGAGGCCTCATGTAGGACAGATGGGGGGCGCTCGAAACTTTCTCCCACGGGCAGGAGCTCTCCTCTTCGACGTCTTACTCTCAAAGTCGGGCAGGGCGCGCGGGCGCTCGCAAGACGGAGGAAGCTGTGGTAGGACGAGATTGGCGGTACCGACGCTGCGTACGAGCCGCCTCCGCACGGATGTTGACACCACAGTGCGTCTTCCAAGGCACAGACACATCAGGGCACAGACACAGTTCGGGAAATCCTCGTCCAACAAGGTTGTAGTCGCAAATTCGTCTAGTGCCTTCATCGCGCGCAGTGCTGCACGCGGGAGTGACAATCCTCGTGCTGAGGCGCTTTGGCCATCCAGTGGCAAGAAACGGCCGTGGCTCAATATTCCAGTCCGCCATGCTCAGGCACGGGTCAGCCAGCGCGCGCGCGAAGGAGCCCAGAGTCATAAGCACGTCGTTGTTCTAATTATGCGTTCTCGGTCCTGGTTGAAGGTGCGCGGCAATCAACGCCGGTTTGCCAACTTTGGCGCGCGGCACGATGGGCGTGAAACCGCTGCAGGGGCCCAACCTGCCCGCATCCAAAGCAACGCGACGTGCACTCTCAATGCTCGTCGCAGCAATACGTCTCTGAGTCAAAATCCATCCTGCGCCAGAAAGCCCGCTCTCCGACTTGCCTGCGAGCCGCCGTGTGAGCGAGCCTCCAGCCATCCTTGTCCAAGCCTGCGCATATGTCAGCCATGTCCTGATTATCCTTGTGCGTCTCGCAGAAGGCCACAACGCTGCGCTCCGACTCCTGGGGCTAAAATCGCGCGGCCTGCGGCGCCCGCTCCGTAATGTTGCCGAAACGGATGATCATCGAGCCATCCTCATGATCAGGTAAATCGTCATCACCAGGCGCTGCATCGCCCCAACGCCGTGGGCGCTGCGGGACTCCGCTAGGAACCAGGCGGCCCAGCTGAAGTAGCAGCACTAGGTGTATCGCCAGCGCCCTTGCCCACTCCCTTGGCCGCCTTGGCCTGGGTCTCGGAGTTGGTGGCGAACTTGGCGGGCATGTCCTTCCGCGCCGACTCAGGGAACGACGCAGAGGCGCTGGGGCCCTGGCCTGCGGCAGCAGCGCAGGCCGCGAGCCGCGCCTCCCGCCTCAGCGGCGAGAGGTGCGCCAGGGTCCCCTTCGCCACGGACAGCAGCACCTCCCTCATCACGGCGACGCCGCTTGGCGGCCGCCTCCTTGTGTGCACTCTTCGCCTGGCCCAGCAGCGCCTGAAACTCCTTCTGCTTCTCAGTAGCCAACCTCCATATGTCCTTCAACTGCTCTTGGAAGATTTCGAGCGCCGTCCTGTCGGATGGCTCCAGCTCGTCGAGGGACTCGAACAGGGCAGGGTCAACGGCGAAGATGACACCCTCGTGCGATTTGTCGGGGGGCTTGCCAACCCGCTCCTAAGCCAGCAAGCGCGCACTCCGCCTCGACCATGTCTTCCGCTGCCTTGTCGAAAGCCTCTCGTGCCTTCTCCAACTGCATCTTGGCGTACTCCACCGAGCGGGCCGCTCTGTCCAGAACGTCCTGCTTGCGCGGACACTCCGCCGTCGCCTCCTTAAGCACCGTGTGGCCAGGCTTGGGGGCTGGGGCAGGCTTCTTCGCCTCAGCAAGGACCTTGAGCTGCGACGCGAGCCTTGCCACCTCCGGATCCTTCCCAAAGCCTGCCGTTTCCATCGCCTTCGGCTTGACCTCCTCGAGCGTGAAGGTGGCAGGGCGCTTGTTCCAGTCATCCTGGCCGTCCTTCCACCACGGTGCATACCAACTACCATTCGCCGTAGTCGTCCATCCTGACTGTAGGGTGCCGCAGATAGCACAGGTCCCTTTCTGGCGCTTGAGCCGCCATTTCCAGGCCTAGTTGTCGCACTTCGAGCACGTGGTGGACGCATTCTTTCCACCTCCCATCTGTCGCTCCAGCAAGAGCTCACAAAACCTTGTTCCGACAGGAGCTCACAAAAAATGCAATCTGGCTCGGGGAACAGAGTCATCCCAGTCATGCACGGAGGCGCGGAAACCCCAAGTGCATTAGCCTTGAGCCAAACTGGCTACGGAGGAGGAGGAGCAGATGGAGGAGGAGGAGGACGGGGAAGGTGAAGGCAAAAGGTACGAGAAGCGAGGACGCGGAGAGAAGAGGCGACGGCGACGGCGACGGCGACGGAGAAGGCGACGGCGAAGGCGAAGACGACGACCACGGCGACGACGACGACGACGACAACGACGACAGGGGCCGCGCGCGTCGCCGGTGGCGGCGTCGGCGTCGTGGTCGCCGACGACGTGGTCGGTGGCGGCGGCGAGGTCGCCAGCGCCGAGGTCGCCAGCGCCGAGGTCGTGGTCGCAGAGAAGGTGCTCGGGGGCAGCTGCGGCGGCAAGGAGACCCCGGCCGGCAGGGCCTCCGAAGGGGGGTCTTTGGCACGCCCAGCCCTCCACCGCTCCCAGCCCCCCCGATCCCCTCTCGCTGCCTCTCGCCCTCCTCCCCCGTCCCCCCCAAGTTTAAGGTGCCATGTCAGGTACAAAAGGTGCACCGTCATCGGCGGAAGGTGGGCTTTCCCCACTCTTCGCCCGCACCGATGACCCAACGCATGGGAAACCTCAGAGCCCCACCCCTTGTGCAAGGACCGACCGTCCCGGCATTTCTATAGTCCTACCACGAAATGTTCTTAGAACCGAATGATGTTCTAAGAACAACAGCGATGTTCCTAGAACACAAACCCGATGTGATAGAACAGGGCAGACTCCACCAGAACTGTTCCAACAACATTCCGTGGAAACCACAAAAAGGTTCTCAGAACACTGTTTGGTAGGGCTATAGGCGAGCCAAGACGCTTCGCCACTGCTTGACACCCCGTCCCCTCAGTGCCGTCTCAGCGGTCGCGGGCCCGGCGTGGCCGTGGCGGGCACGAAGTGCGAAGTGGCGCCTCGCAGCGGCCCGGGCTCCCGCCCTGCAGTTCGACGGCCAGGCCTGCCTCCAGCTTGCTCCTGCTGCTCCTCCGCCCAGCCCCTGCTCCCGCGGCTGCTGCTGTGTCTCGAAGCCTCGAGCCTCAGGTCGCCGCCCGCGGCAGAAATGTTTTGCTCCTGACGCTGACGCTGGAGGCGTGAGGAGGAGGAGGAGGAGGAGGAGGAGGAGGAGGAGGACGAGGAGGAGGCGTGAGGAGGAGGACGAGGAGGAGGCGTGAGGAGGAGGAGGAGGAGGAGGAGGAGGAGGAGGAGGAGGACGAAGAGGTGGAGGAGAAACCAGAGGAGCAGGAGGAGGAGGAGGAGGAGGAGGAGGAGGAGGACTGGGGGGGAAGACACCGCAGGATGCGAGCGAACGCGTGAAGGCAGGCCAGAGCGCTCCTGACGTTGACGCTCTGGACGTTTACGCTGGAGGCGTGAGGATCGAGGTTCGACGCTGCCTTCCGCCCCCCTCTCATGGGCGGCCGACCCTGGGGGCGGGGCGATCAAACTGGAACTGCACAGCAGAGGCGCAGGAGCAGCCCTGCGGGCTCTCCTGCGCCTCCAGCGGGGTGGCCGAATGACTGGGGCCCGGGGGCCGCCCCGGGGGGGAGGGGATGGGGGACGACGACGCGCCGGGTGTCGTCGTGCGCCTCCTCCTTGCCGTCGCTCGGACGTCCATTCCCCGCGCATGTTTCCGATTCGTGCGTGCTCTTTCGCTCGATGATCCAAGGCCCTCCTGGACAGTTCTCGCTGAGAAAGTAGCGCACGCGTAGGAGGAGGAGGAGGAGGAGGAGGAGGAGGAGGAGGAGGAGGAGGAGGAGGAGGAGGAGGAGGAGGAGGAGGAGGAGGAGGAGGGAGGAGGGAGGAGGGAGGAGGAGGAGGAGGAGGAGGAGGAGGAGGAGGAAGAGGAGGAGCAGCGCTGCCACACCTCCTGCTGCCGCTCCAGCCCACAGGGTGTTGCAGCCGCGGCTCCCCCTCAGGACTCGGACGAGACCGCGCTGGCCAAGAGGCCACCGCGCGGCGCCCTGGGGCCCTTCGTCGGGGAACACCTCGCGATGTAATTTACAGTCGGGGCGTTGACCTAAGGAACCCTAAATCCCTCCCTCTCATTCTTCCAGACCTTCCGTGCTGACCTTCCACCCTCTTGCGCTACCTCAAACGCTGAGTTATCTTGAATTGCGTAAGGTTTACAATGGTTATAACGAATTGTTTGAGGTTCCAGCGAGTTCCCGAAAAACGCAAAGACATTCTGAGACACCGCTCCTTCTCTCTTGTTTCCGCCGCCATCACAGCCTTCACCCTCATCATCATCCTCATCATCAGCATCATCATCATCATCATCATCACAATCATCATCATCCTCATCATCATCATCAGCATCAGAATCAGCATCAGCATCATCAGCACCATCACCATCACCATCACCATCACGTCACGATCATCGCCAGTATTGCATTCGAGTGCTTTACTGCGCACTGCACCTCTAGGACGCATTTTCTTAATTAGCTGGTCGTTGAGGACCTGTCTGGGGGATGCGGGGCGGAGCGAGCGACCTCCTCAACCCCTCGCTCCTCCTAGAGATGCAGTAGCAGTAAAGCACTCTGGTGCAATACTGGCGATGATCGTGACGTGATGGTGATGGTGGTGGTGGTGATGGTGATAATGGTGATAATGGTGATGCTGATGCTGATGATGATGCTGATGCTGATGATGCTGATGCTGATGATGAGGATGATGATGCTGATGATGATGAGGGTGAAGGCTGTGATGGCGGCGGGAACAGGAGAGAAGGAGCGATGTCTCAGAATGTCTTTGCGTTCTTCTGGCACTCGCTTTAACCTGATACAAGCACTTGAAGGTAGCGCAGAAGGTTGGAAGGTCATCATCATCACCAGCATCATCAGCAACAGCATCAGCAACATCATCAGCATTAACATCATCATCATCAGTTGCCAGTCGCATGTTCTTATCCAGGGTCTTAGGGTTCAGGGTTTAGGGTTAAGGGTTTGAATGCGCCACATGCGTCGACGTATGGCGTCGGGTAGGGTGTCGACGTAGGGCGTCGGGTAGATCAACCAAGACTTGAGCGTATTGTGTTGCAGCCAGTCTGGACCCCAAACGGCGTCATCTGGACATATTGTTATGTACTCGGTGGTGCAATCTATGTGGTGCAATCTATGTGGTGCAATCGCGCACGTGAGACACACGCTACACTTGACGCCGTCGCACCCGCAATGTGCGAACCGACGTGGGCGACGACGGGCGACCCCGCACCGACGCGCGCCAGCCCGCGCATCACGCGGGCGCGGGTGGATGACAGTTGGGCGGGGTCACCCGTCATCGCTCACGTCATCGCAGATGACGGGTGCGATGGCGCCTCAGATATTGGGCGCCATGGGATAGCATTGAGAGGGTGGGGATGGGCAAGAGGAGGAGGAGGAGGAGGAGGAGGAGGAGGAGGAGGAGGAGGAGGATGAGGAGGAGATGAGACGACGAGAAGAGCCATGGAATCCACAACTGTCTGAACGATGAAACAGCTGTACACAGGATTCACGCTCCTGAGCTATGGCACTGGCCCGTCGGCACCTGTGAGGCTGGCTCCTTCCTCATCATGGTTCCTCTTCCTCTCCCTCCTCGTCTCCTCATCCCTCATCCCTCATCCCCTTTCTACTTTATTGGTATTCACCTCCGCCTCCGACCTGTTGTGCTGTAAAATATGATGCCCCCCCATTGGGCAAGGGCGCACGCGGCAGAGCCGTGGCGCAAAGGCGCAAAAACGCCGTTGGGGAAACATTCACCACATGCAATCATTGCGGCCCGTCTAGGTCGTCCTCGAGCGTCGCCTCCGTGGTCGGCTGCACGTCGTTCCAGCCCCTGGCCAGAGAGTCGGGCGAGCTGTGGTCGGGGTACTCCCAGAGGGGCTCGAGCTTCGGGTCGACGATGGCGAAGTACCAGAGATTCTTCCACACGTCATCATCGTCCGCCAGGGGGTCGCCCTTGGCCAACCCGCTGTCGTTGCGGAAGATGCGCACGTCATTGATTAGTAGGAAACCGTTCGGCAGTGCCAGCTGGGTCACGAGCCACGTCTTCAGGGCGGCACACGACACGCAGTCGCCGCGACCAGCCAGCACAGGGTTAGGAACTTTGATGAACTCCCACGCGCCCGTCTCCTGAATCTTCACCGTGAACGTCCAGACGGGCTCGCAGCTCACGCCAGAAACGATGCTCTCAGCATGAGGGTCCAGCAATGACCTCTTCGATGCGATGAGATTGATCGTGCGATACGTGGACGGGTTGACAACGTACTCGTCCCACAGCGGGTGCTTCGCCACGGTCGGGTGGGTTTGAGAAGCCTCGTAGATGTAGATGCCCGCATCCCAGTCAGCGTACACCGAGTAGTCTTTTTTGATGCTCTCCTTGATCATCTTCACCTCGACGCCGCTGGACCACGACAGGTTGGTACCGACCTCCGCAATCACTGGCCCGAAACACGCCAGCTCCTCGAAGTAGATGCTGAGCTTCAGCATGCCCGTAGTCGCACCCGACCACGCAATGTATTCAGTCGCAACCATCGCACCTGCCTCGGGCGAACGCCTTGGGCGAAAGCGTTGGGTAGGGCGGCGGGTGCGGCGTCGAACGTGCGCGAGCTTGAGCCACAATGTTCTATTCACGGGTGTTGTGCTGTTGAGCGTGTTGTTTTAGCCCTGGTCGGGTGCGGCACCCAAACACTGCTCCAACCCCAAACACACTGGGCGTGGACCCCAAACAGTGCGTGGACCCCAAACAGCGCTAGACCCCAAACAGCGCTTCGACCCCAAACAGAGCGGAATTCGATGCACGGCATTCGCACACGGCACCGCAATCCGATGCACGACACGGCACCGCAAGGGTGATGTTGGTGACGGTGAGTTTGACGGTGGTGGTGGTGATGGTGACGATTGTTGCATTTTCAGGCATGGCACTTTTGCAAATGCTTCATGTACCATTTGACGGCGGCGTTCTCTGTATACTTGGTCCTGTTCACATTCACTGACATTTTCCTGGCATGAAAATTTTCAGATTCATCTGCGTAGTTGTGCGTCCAACCTGGGTTGCCCGCGAAACGGGCTTGGTCCACGATATGTCTGGCGAACGCGTGAAATTTTATGGTGACGGTGCGACCGCTGTCGGCCCAGGCGGCCATCGTACGTTTGACGACGGCGTCCATGTGCGCCAGCGCGGGTTCGTCCATCCGACGAGGCTGGCTTTTACATATACCATAAAACTCAAGCATGCCTTCGCCGAAGGTTTGAAGTTTAGTTCCATCTGCGCCATCTGCAGCGCCATCCAACAGGGCCCGCCCTCCAGCATTCTTCAGGACATGCACGACGAAGCCGAGGAGTGAGCGTGTCTTGCCAGCCTTGAGTTTCAGAAATGGGTGTTCCCTGCCGCCGCACGCCTTCATGCACAAACCAAG